TCAGCTGAAAGCTAATCAATATAGAGTGTTTCTGATTAAAAATGTCTTTTTGAAGCAAATCATGTACTTTTAAAATATATAGTTTTATAGCCTTAGATTAGTGATAGCATCACTATCATTAGCAGCATCATTATCATCATCATTACTACCATCATCATAATTATCATGATTATCAGCACCATTATCATCATCGTCATCATCACCATCACCACCATCATCTTCATCACCATCTTCATCATCGTCATCATCATCATCATCATTCTCCTCTTCTCCCTCCTTCTACTCCTACTCCTCTTCCTTCCCCTCCTCCTCATCATCATCATCTACAATCTCATCGTCACATCTTCCCATTCTACATCCCTTAGCAACAACATCCTCCTCCTCCGAACCACAATCATTCTCTTTCATGTCTACATCTCATTTCTATTCCTCATCTCTGACTGCAAGCATCCTCCAAATGAAGGATGACCCATCTCCCTATAGATGTGTTTCTCTTTGGTCTCTCTTCCCTGTAAATCCCTCATCCATCAACTGACTCCTACACAACTCATCTGCGTTTCACTCTCGTGGATTGACCACTATCACTCACATCTAGATGGCAATAATACAGTCAACTCTCTTTCCCTTCATCTTCAAGATAGAAATGTTATTTTTTGCATAAGATTATGGTTCTGTAAATGCACACATAATTCACAACAATTAGTTGACAATTCTCCTTGGATGGTATAAGAATTATTTGCCTATTTTTTTGATCAATAATTGTACTTGTCATGCATTGGTGTACTGTTTCCATGGATTGAAAAAAAAATGTTTTAGGGACAGGTTATACACTTGCTGTCATATGGAAATTGTAGGAATACAAGTTTGCACATATTGTAAGACAATTTTGCATTTTATGAGGTCAATTTTGTATCAAAGAAAAATTCTCCTGAATACCTGACATCTGAGCCAATGAAGTTGTTGATAGATTATGTTCTGATCTGTAATGCTTTGTTGTCAAATATTTTCTCTAAACTATCAATTGTGTAGGTATTCATCTGTAGGCAAACCAAGACATCAAGAATTATTTGTAAATACAGTATGTATTTGGCTCCCAATTCACTAGCCTATAATATGCCCTTCCTTGCTGACCAATAGAGGGTGTGCTTCACCTGCAGATGTATTTTTGTTTTGCTGGAGTCCTGAATATCTAATTTGACAGCCAATGATCCATCTTTCTCCCAAACTGCCACCAGCTCATATGAGAGTGCTAACGCGAAGCACAAGAGGTTTGCTTTGCTTTTCAAGTCAGTCTTTAGAATTGATTGTGTGACTTTTTGACGGGAGCACCTGTATTTTTAAGGGATTTAACTCGAGTGTAAGGTAAAGGAGGGCATATGGAATATGGTGAGTTTGTAAATATCTTTTTTCTGTATTTGATACATAATTTAATATTCTGATGAATTGTCAAGTATGACTAGGGAGTGAAGAATCCAGAGTGAGAGGATGGTTAAAAAAGTGAAAAAATGAAAATGAGAGAAATGTGAATAAATAAAACACAATTTTGTTTTTCTACATGCCAAAAGGAGTATATCATCTATTGAAAGCAAGAAGGGCAGTAACGCCTATACTTTTACACAGACTCGGCATCCTTGTTACTCTGTTTAGCTACCTACATCGTTTTTCAATATGTGGGTGGCATTAATGTCTTTTGAATAGAAGGGAAAAAGATAATCAAATTGGTGAGGAAAGTCAAAAGAAAGTAGGAGAAATAGGAGAAGTTGTTCAAAAAATGTACTGTGAACAGAACTTGATAAAGATTAAGAGACATAGATACAAATAAAAAGAGGTAATGAAATATTAGAAAAGGAAATAAGGAAGCATATTTGTGGATATGTTACATGCAATATTACTCTAGCGCTTTTCTTCGTGAAAGCTTAGCAGATTGCCCTCCTTTGGAAGCTGGCAAGAATAAATATACTCTACTAAAAGTGATCAATCTTTTATGAAACCGGCCTCGGTGTCAAGTCAATATTGAATTCAGTCAGCTATTTCTCAAACTGCCTGGCAAACTGAAGGGCTGATGGATGTTTGGTTGCATTCACTCGTATTGTTAAACCATGTCAAGGAGAATGGAAATATGGGCATGCATTAACATCTCATGTGCAATTCACTCTTGTTGATTATTGGGGCTAGTACATTTTTTTTCAGAAATGAAAGTGTTCTCAGGCTTGGATGAAAATATGTTGGTGTAGGATATATAAACATGAAATGTATTCATATTTTTCAAAAGGATAACTGCAATCATTGCCAAGTAATAGTAGAATGTCTGTATATGTATGAGGAAAGATTCTTCCTCACACAATATGTTTTTACATTGTGTGCTAAACGTGGGTATGCATCTTGCATCTTGAGTAGATGTGGATACAGTCTTAAAGTGACCCGGTAACATTGTCTCAGATTCTGAAACAAAGTCCTGGATTTAGCTCAAAGGCTGCAATCATAATTATAATCCTGTAGGTCAGTCAGGAACCCCATGACTTTTACAAGCCGATCGCCTGTCCAATTATCAAGATATTTATGATTGGAAATCGAATTGCTTTTTTTTTTTTCCTAACAGGTTTTATAACACTACAGTCTATTGAGGAAAAGGAGTATGGTAAAACCGGTCACTCAAAGATTTTCACTTTTTTGAGGCACTTCGTGATCATTTTGAAGCGCAATTCTCTTTAGGGCTTCAATATTCCACCATATCACAGACATTGATAACCCGTAGGGCCATGCATATCAGATTTAACATTGTTAAAAGATGCCTTTAAGTAAACGATGACAGATAAAGAGGGAAAAGGTTTTAAAAGAGAAACAAATCGTTGTATGCTTGATAGAAGGGTGTAAAAAGATGTATGAGCAGAAGATTTATATTTTTAGAAATGCCATTTTAGAATTGACTTTAGTTGCATAACATAGTTGAATATATACATCATTTAAAGTGTTAACACCATAGTTGGTGACTTCTATATCTTCTACTTCTTTCATTACAAAACTAAAATGTGAAGAAAGAAGAAAGAAGACATGACCCAGATTCAAAACAACAAATTTAATTGAAAAGTAGAAAGAATCAAAGCACAAGGAAGAAGCAAAGGATACTGAGAGATAAGGAGAGAAATAGTAATATAACTCTCAAGAGTAAGATGGAGAGGAAAGGGTGAAGAGAAGGGGGAAGCTGAGTACTGATTTTTAAGAGCGAAGAAGATGGAATGGGCATTAGGAAGAAATTTAAGAGGAAGAGGGGGGAGACATCGTGCTAATGAATTGGGTCTATTGACTGTCACGATTCCTAATGGTCCTTATACTCCTCTGCTAAGCGGACAGGACAGCGAGCCCTCTACCAACAAATCAACCCCTCCACGGCAGCGGGCAGGCGGTTTGTTGCGTTTTCTCCCTTCCCTACCGGAGGAATAATATTACCGGCATGCCACATAGTCCCAGAGGTGCATTAAAGAGCTCAAAGTCAACTGAAGCCTACAATGAATGATAGATGAAGGGCTGAGCTAGCTTATAGATCACTGTTGGTCTTAGCTCGCCTTCACCTTCTCTGGAGATCATGGACATTAACATTTACCTTGAGGTGTCCTAATTCTGTGAGGGAGGGGGAGAAGGGGGGGGGGGGGATCATGCTTTGAAAATGATGATGGTTCACTGTCGCTGGTCCCTCAGGGTAGTCATGTAGGTTTCCATGGAATCTTTGCCAGCTGATAAGAAGGAATAGGATCTTATAGGGTTATTTGACTTTGATATTGTGTATCATGCACTAAGGCTGCGACGGGTAGTCGAATGCTCGAGTACCCGCACGGTTGACAACTACTCGGGTACGATTTCTAGTACCCGAATATTCGGCCGCAAAAAAAAAAAAAAAAAAAAAAAAAAAATGTCCAGGCCCACGCTTACCCGTGCCAGGGAGAGCGGCGTCCGCTGGCATGGTACCGTCGGTAAAAATGTTTCCCAACTCAAGCACTGTCAAACTCACCTTTCAGAAACTGGGACCAAATGTCCAGATTTCTGTTTGGACTTGGAGGAAAATGGATTATTCTGCCATCTTTGGTTTTTAAAACAGCATTGCTTACTGTTATTATTCTTATTAAATCGGCGCCTTCAACTGCAACTCAAAGTAAAGTTGCATGCGTTTTCAGCGAGGGACCTGAGAAACTGCCGAGTGGTATGGTAGTGGCAAAAAAAGAAAAAAAAGAAAAAAAGTCCAAAAATTAAAAAATTTAAAAAAAATCAAAAAAATTCAAAAAAATTATAAAAAAACATGGCGTCCGAATATTCGAGTATTCGCCTGTGAGCCTGGGAGTGTACTCGGGTACCTCATTACACTGTTGTGCACAGCCCTATCATGCACATACCTTGATTTCAAACATGTAAATTTATCGAACGATGCGGAAATGAAATTGTATGTCAGTTTTTTTTTATTCTTTTTGGATATTTTTAATTGAACACCACTGATGGCATACAAGAGAAAACAGAGGCAAAGTCTGCCTTCTTATTGACATTCTCTCTTTGCTTCTTCTATCAATGAAATTTTATTTCCAAGTCGTTATTGTAATGATAGTTATGCATGATGAATATTTTAAAAACTTTAAAAGTTACTCCTGTTAATTGCTTAAATTGTAATTTTCAAATTCAAGAACCTCCTGACAAATGCCAATATTGAATTATGTATCATTATTTTTATAAATGAAAAAAATGACCTTTCTAGACAGTTTGTACAACACATCTTTCTTTACTTACGGATACAAAATACATGGCCACTATAAACAGGTGGCCTTTATAGAGAGGTGGCTATTATTAAAAGACAGGTGTGACTGTATACAAAATGCTATATTCTGAATGCATGCATAAATCAGGTGTTAACATTTAGCCTCAATTTCTGAATACGTAGCAAATTCCAATCAAGACTATTGCATGCTCTGCTGTGCCTTGCATGTTGCATATTAAATGTGTATAATTTTCTGTTGATTGCAGAGAGAAGCTGTCTGTAGCCAGACTCCAGAGGGAGCTAGCTAAAGCTAAGAGTGAAGGCACCATGGTGAGTACTCCTTCATCCTATCCATATTTTCAACATTTACAGTAATATTCAGAGTCATGGCCAATTTGGTGTCTATTCATATCCCATGAACATTATTTAAATTGTTCTAGCTTTCTTCACTTCTCTTCTTTTTCACCCTTCCTGTTTATTTTATTTTTGAAATTAAATTTGTCCCCATATTATTCTGCTTTCCATCCATGTTCATTTTTTTCCTGTTTTCCCCCTCTTCTTATACTCTTGTGCTGCTTCTTACTCTTATTTTCCTCAATAATCCACCCTTCCTTAGTTTTCCCTTCTTTTCTTCTCCTTTTTCTTTTGGGATTTCCCTTTTTGCAGACAGGTGATAATATTTCGCTTCAAAATTTATTGACTTTATGCTTCATGTTTTGAAACTAGGTTGTGACTTTATACTGTAGGATGAATGGTGACCTCCTTGTGATAACCTCCAGTTTAAACTAGGGAATCTTGTGACTAAATCATTCTCTACTAACCACCCTCCCAACTGACTTGATCGGAAGCCACAGAGAGAGAGAGAGAGAGAAAGAGAGAGAGTTGATGGAGAGAGTGATCGAGGGGGGGGGGGGGGAGGAAGAACCTACCCTCTACTGTAATTTCCTTTCCCCCTTCCCTCTCTCCTCCCTCGTGGTATCAGAGGCCCTTTGGGACATCATTTTGGGAATTTTTATTTTGGTTTGAGAATAAATTTTGCAGGATAAGCTCATCCTGAGGGAAATGAGGGTTGCTTCTTGAATTAGTCTTGTTTTCCTTGTATATTCATACTTTTAGTAATCTACATAATATGAAAATCATTGTTGCTTTATGAGTGATTCGTTACAACAATCCAGTGACTCTATATGCATTGAGGATGAGTATAATGAGGCAATGCAAGGGAGAAAATGTCTTGGAAGTTATTAAGACCCTAATAATGAGTTATTTTTTATAAAGGGGTTGTGTTAGTGCTTCTTTTTCTAGTTTACTAGACAATAATATATAATGTAATAGATACAATATGAATCAAATTTTAATACCTTGAAGATACAACCAAAACAGCTTTAACATTAGAATTTGATAGGATAGACCTATTGGATTTATTTTTATTTGATATTTTAAAAGGTCAAAGTGATATGATTAACTTTTAGAGAGTTGATGAATGTCTGTAGCATTAGACTAGCCAACTTATTGATGCCAAAGTATATTTTTAAAAGTTCAATAGGGGAAAATCAAGCTATTCTAGCTAGGCTAGGGAAGGAGAAAGGAGGGGCTCTCTAAATTGAAAGTTGGCATGAACTACACAAAGGGGATGCACCTATCAAACTTCTGGAAGGAGACAAAAAAAGACTGGGATCAAAGGGGGTTCTAAAAGCACCATGTCACAAAGACTGCTGTTTTTTAGGAGAGTTTCACAAGAAATTGGACTAGTCATGGTGGAACAGAAAGAAACCAGGAGTAGGATTCTGTGTGATTTGATGTGATTTGTGAACAAAATGGAGGATTCCTCTGAGGAGAGTAGAGAGAGGTGTGAGGATGAGGTGCATCATCAGGAAGGGGTGAGTCGGTGATTAGATTTAATCAATGCGAGATGTATGTTGTTTTGATTTCCCCTTGCTCGTGTTCATCAAAAGTAATTAGTCATTCTAGAGTAAAAACTGCTGCAGGGGATATTTTGAAACAGTATATATGACACTGTGCTTCAAAACAAAATTGCCATTCTATGCATTTTTTCTATGTGACAGACTTTCACTAAGTATATATGAAATTTATACTACAGTCCAAAAGTTACAGTTGTACTAACATCCCAATGTTTCTATAAAAGTTGCTAATCAGCAAGGCTATTTTGATTTACATGTTTGTTGGTAAAGCTACATTCCCAATATTGCTCTGTTTTACACTCCTGTCAAACTAACAAAACCAACCCCAAACCGACCCCAGACTTGGTCAAGATTCAAGATCTTGAATCTTGAATCTTGACCGACACCTGACCGACACCCAACCGACACTAGACCGACACCAGACTGACACCAGACCGACACCAGACCGACAACAGACCGACAACAGACTGACACCCGACCATGCAACACCCAACCGACACCAGGCCAACACAAGATCGACGCCAGACCAAAACCTGACCAATCAAACAATTACATGTTGTACAATGGCAAAGAATCAGCCGGTTTTTAGTTGAATATAGACTTGGTTTGGCGGTGTGACTAAGTATTAACCTTAGTGTCAATGAGCCTCATGCTTGTAGTTAAAATCTTATTTAGAATCTTTAAAAAGACTTCAAATTTAAGCATGTTTAAGGTTTTTCGTCATAGTTTTCAATATAAATGTACTTAACATACCATATGTTTAATACTCGTCATCGGGGTAAAAGAAAGATGCTATTCAAAGTCAAAATCAGGAAATAGCCATCTCAAAATCTAATCGGATTTGATCTCTCTTTGCTAGATCCATTATCAGGCAACAGGTACATAGGAATCACAGACGCTACAAAGCCATTGTTGTACAGAGACGTACTCTTCTGCAAATTAGTTCTGACATCCATGTTAGTCACCAACTACTTCAAAATTGCCTTCGGTCCCACAAGTATGTTTTTATGTTTTGTTTCTGGCTGTGAGTGATGTGTTGCCACTTTCATAGGCCAGGCTTTGATCAGCAGTATGGTGAACGAAAGGTGAGATTGGAGTCACAAGTTTGTAAGAAACGTGTTAAAATGGTTGAAATGCCTACTTGTAATAGTACAGATAAAGCTTAAAGGCTGATAAGTCACTTGGGTCTTTTGAGAGATAAATAGAGGGAACAGAACTCATTGAATTCTGAAATCAAACAATATCTCATCTGTCTTTCTTCCAAAAGTGCCCTTCCTCCCAATTTGTTTATAACATTAAAGTTCCTTCTTTTTAAATGGATGATGTGAAGTGAGCATAGTTTGATATGAGTGGGTTAAGCTGGAAGGGGAAGTTATTTGATAAGTAAGTTAAGATTGAACTTTAAACGGAATAGTTGCCAAAAAGGGCAAAGACCAAGATTTTCGATTATAAACCCCCCAGTGGCACTCATGGATTCCCAAAAGCCAGGCTTAACACACTGACAGATTACAAATTCATGCCCTATTATCATTGTTCAGCTTGGCGAAGATTTTCACGCCAGCTTCTCCACCCGAACAAATGCCCAGCGCTCGGAGGAACGTTAATGGAGGGGGATTTTCGATCTCGAGTTTCGTCAAATTTCCTGCACGATGTCAGGAGGTGTCTGATTTCACTACCAAGATCAAAAATTCAATCATCTTTCCTTTTCTTTCTCGAGACTAAAGTAGTTGAGGAACACAGCAACACTCTCAGTGAGAACCTTGAAGGGGAACCTGGATGGTCTGCTATTGCACTTTGTCAAGACGATTCCAGTTTTTCAGTGAAAAGGAAAGATGTCACCGCCTCTGGCAATTGTTACACTCTGGCATATTAGGATCTTAGGAAACTCATAAATCGAGATACAAATGAATAACGATTCCAAAGAAAGGGAAAGAGGCTATTAGAGCAAGCAAATGATACCGTGCATATTTCGGTTTTACTATTTATACCTTGACCTATCAAGAAATGCACAATTGTACATTCAAAATTAAGCTTTTATTTAATGTTTAAGCTTGTGTAATGCAATTGTTCTTGGCAACAATTGTTGAGCTGGTTTAGACTGAACTCAAGCCAAAATAATTTTGTGTATATGCTTCAATATATATTCTGTGGAGATGTGCGGGCTTTTGGATAGTGTTAGACTAGATATGCTCAGGGCACTCACCCTACACATTGAATCAAATTTCATTACATCTCTGCATCTCATCTTTACTAGCATTGGAGATTTCACACCAGCTCATTTCTTCATCAAAATATTTTATTTAATATATATTTTCTAGCCCATATAGATTTACAAAATATTGTGAAGTAAAGAGAGTTCCATCATTTCATCCTTTTGTATTATTCATGAATTCCCAGGATTTGATGAAACATTGTAATCTTTCCTTACCCAAAAACTGCAGTATAAATACTTTTTTCCTGAGGTGGGAGAGGGAGCAGAGAGGAATGTACTTAATCTTAATTAAAGATAGAATTGTAGTTTCTATGAATTGTCTTTTTCAGTTGAGCACCATCTAATGTAGCTTGCCAGATGGGGGATTATATTATACACACCAGGTCTCGTTATGATATCTTCAACAGCTTTACGATTGGTAGAAATTAAAGTTTAGACTGTAAATATGGAAAGCTGTAATAACAGCAACCATTGAATCTGTAGTGAGTTTGTGTGATTTACACCTATCCTTCTTGTGAAAAATCGTAATAGTGTGAAAGGTCTTCTCAATTTGCTGCTCCTCTTTTAGAACTAACATCACCCATACCTCATCCTCATTTTGATCCTTCTATACCCAGGCTATCGACCCAATCTAGAGCACAATGTTATTGTTGGATGACGTAGTCAACACATTATGTGCCTCCGTGATTAATTTGACCCATCTTAATCTATTCTAAGCTAGGGTTCTGTTTTTCTTTCCTCGCTCACTCTCATGAAATTAAGAAACCATGTATGAATTTGAGTGACAGGTAATTTGATACATTCTGCTTTTTGCACCCCCCCCCCTTCCACTTTATTTTTCTATCCCCTTTCTAAGCTCTGCTTCAAAAGCCTGTGATAAAAATATTCTCATTTTGATGAATATCTGATAGCCTGTTCAGACCAAACAAATTTTATATGAAACTTGTTTAAAGAAAAGAAAAGAAAAACTTGTATACACGACAGCTAGCCAATCATCATTGTGCGCTTAGGATAAGCCCCGCCCAGGTATACAGTTTTTTTTACAATGTTCAGACTAGATTAGGATGCTGATTCTTTATTGAGATTTTGTTTAAAATGATGCTCAAACAGACGTTTCGATCTTTATATTACTTTCCATTATACAATGTTTCTTTATACAACGTTCAGACGAGGAACAAAGTACCCCTATACAAATTTCA